ATAATAATAATAATAATAATAATAATAATAATAATAATAATAATAATCAGCTTCCAGTGCTATCAAAAGCTCTGTAGAATTATTTCATCATTTGCTCCTTAACAGATTTTTGCGAGAAGAAGAAAAAGAAAAAAGGGAAGATAGTAACCAATACCGCATAAGATCTTGTTACATTTTTAGGATAAAACATCGAATTCTAAAAATGAGACTATGTACTTAACGGTATTTTGCTGAGGAGAAATGTAACACCGGTCAAAATTGCCTTCTATGATTGGATGCTGTGAAGGATTAATGGACCGTAGAACAAGTTGGTTGTGGTTAAGATGCTGGCTTAGAAACCAGGAGACGGTGAATTCTAGTCCTGCCTTGAAAAAAAATGTATGGTATTTTGCTGAGAAGAAATATAACACCAGCCTGGATTGGTTATGATGACTGATGTGAAGGATTAGTGGACCATAGAACAATTTGTGGTTAAAATTCTGGTCTAGAAACCAGGAGACTGAATTCTAGCCCTGCCTTGAAAAAATATGGTATTTTGCTGAGAAAAGATATAACACCAGTCTGAATTACCTGTGATGACCTGATGTTGTGAAGGATTAATGGACCATGGAACAATTTATTTGTGGTTAAAGAGCTAGCCTAGAAAAACCAGGAGGTACTGAATTCTAGTCCCACCTTAGACAAGAAAGCTGGATGGGTGACTGGGACAATTTCTCTGTCCCACGGTCCAACCCATCTCACCGGGTTCTTGTGTGGAAACTAGGAGGAAGAAGGAATATTAAGTTATATTCATTGCCTTGAATTACAAAAATAAAAAAGGTGGGATATAAATAAATAACACAAACTATTACATCAGTTGCTTTTATTTTTTATAAAAAAGTTCAAACTGGTGAACACATCCAATTCAACTTCCTATTTTCCTCGTAACGCCCCTATGAGGTGGGCCAGGCTGAAAGGAGTGATTGGTCCAAAGCCACCCAGCCAGCATTCCTGCCAAAGGCGGGACCAGAACTCCCAGTCTCCTGGTGATTGGT